GCAGCAGCAGCAGCAGTGCAAACAAAGGCACGCTCGTTAGGGCCCGCTTTCTTTCTCTCTCCATTTCATTGCAACCGTTGTCACCCGATCGCCGGGTACATCGATCACAGTAGAAGTAGTAGTAGTAGCATCGGCTTCAAATTCAGCCTCAGCAGCATGAGCATCTCCCCATGAGAGTCTTTACAGCTGCCAGAAACAGTGCAAACAGTTTCAAACAGTTTCTGCCGAACGCTCACACTTGTCACAGCAGAAGTGTTAGAGTTGAGCCAGTCAGTTGCACACATCAACGTCAGCCAAAGGACATAACGGGCTGAATACGCACTTTGAATTGGCTAACCTTTGATACCTAGACACTCACTTGACAGTAAAAGTCAAAGTAGGTGTCAGGAGTGCCCGCACTGGACACAGAGTGGCGATAAATCAGAAAGAGTGGTCAGTAGTTTGTCTACTAAGAGAGATTGAGACCGAGAAAAAGAGCAAGAGGAGGATCGGGTTGCAGCCCAACCGGGGCAGAATGCGATGCCCACAAAGGAACACCGAGCACGAGCACGCATCAATTATTGAAATAACTTTGAGCAAAAAGAAAGAAAGAATCTGCCTTTTGCTTTTGCCTTTGCCGCTTCTGCACTGCAAATACACAGTTTGCCGAAAACTCGTGCACTTGCACAAGATCTTGTCTGGAAAGTCTAGCGTCTAGAGCAAATGACAACTGAAGCGACTGGAATGGAAATCAGTGTGACTGCTGCTGCTGAGGGTAGAGTGCACTAGGCGGCACTAAACGAGAGAGAGAGAAAACGGCGAAGACATTCTCCTAATGAGGAGGTTGTGCGCTGCAGGTCGATCACGAATTCGAACGCAACAGCAGCAATCGAAGTGGAAGAAGGTGCCAATCAGCCGAGCAGAGAGCATCCTGCTCGCGCGTGTGTACCACCACCACCACCACTTGGCAACATTAGATGCTACCGTGCACACACTTTGCATAGCAGCAGCAGCAGCAGCAGCACAGAAGCCACCGTGAAGAACTGAATCGAAGAAGAAAAAGAAGAAAGTCTGCTCAATTAGTTACAGGTAAAGTAGCAGCAGCAGCAGCTACCGTCGCAATTTGACACACTAATGACTTTAGTGCAAGTGCTGCTTCTTTTCTCTTTATCGAACAGATGAAGATGGTGATCAAGAAGACTTTATGAAAGTGACTGGTGGTGGTGCTTTATGACTGTCGTGTTTCAGCAAAAAATGTCAGTTGACTGTGACCAGGCACCGAACTTGTGTGCTTGCCAGCTGCTGCTGCTGCTAAACCCGGGTGACACAAGTTGGCTAGAGGTCTGCAATTAAGAGGGTAAATGCCAATGTACTGGCCATCCATTTGACTAATTCAATTTCGGTGGCAGGTGAAATTCGGAGACAGTGATCAGGTGAACGGTGACCAGCGGACCGAAGCGAGACGACCGCGAGAGCGAGAGCAGTCAGAGGAGCTTCTTTGCCTTTCACCTCTCACCGTGTGAAAGACAGTGCCAGTGACTTGTGTGCCTAGAGCTCACTCAGCCATCCGAATGAATTCTAATTAATTGGCGATTGCCACTGTTCAGGCAAAAAGAGAGGCAGACACACTGAAACAACAGACAGCAGAAGACAAGTGTGGCCACTGAAGCTTGGCTAGCTGGCTGACTACTGTTAAAGATGTACTACACACTAAAAAAAGAAAACAGACATGATGTCGGAAACTTTTTTCTTTTTTCAACGGTTAAGTGGTCAAGTGGACACGCTGCTGATGCACACTGTTGTCTCACATTGCACATTATAGACGACAGACTGCTAATGAGAGAAAGAGAAAGATGGCCCAAGTCGATGATGTGAAAGCGACTTCTGTTTCTGTTGTTCTGTGTCTGTTTCTGTCTGTCTCTGTTTGTCTGTGTAGCAACTTGTCGCATGAGCAACTGCTGCTTAGGAAGTGGATGGATAGAGTCATCGTCTCGCACGTGAGCACTCTTCGCTTCTTAGAACTTTTAAACAAGTGAGAGAATTCCCACAGCATCTGCTGCTGCTACCGATTTGGTTCCTCATCGCCAGGTATCCCACGAGAACAAAGACTGAGATGATCTCTTTCTTTGTGATGATTGCTCTATCTCTAGTGCTGCCCTTGAATTGAATAGTGACCACTGGTCATCATCGCCTCTCTCTCTCTCTTTCCGGACATAATCCCCCCCCCC